CAAAATGCCAGGAAATAGCCACCCCACTGTGTATAAAAATTTTAATAAGACTGGCTCAATTTAAACTAGGAATGTTATTTAGAAGAGGCTATATAAAATAACACAAAACTAAGTTTTCCAATAACATAAGAAGAGAATCAACTATAAATCTGTAGAACAGAACAACCACTTAGATGACATACAGTAAATATTTTTTGAAAGAGAAAAGCAATAACACTGTTATATTAGTCTTACTGAAGAACAGGGCCTTGACTCACTCAATTTTATATAAGTCACGGATGCTGGTGTAGTGTTTTGCATACAACCAATATTTATGGCCACATATTGAATAAATATCAGAGTTAAACTACAGCAATAAGCAACTCATACTATTCCACTTTGAATTAAAATGATTTTAAAAGCCCTATGAAAACATAAATTCAAATAGCACTATGTCATTGTTAATAAAATACATTAAATCATAATATTATATCATAAATAAACTATTCTAAAATTAACTGTTGTTACTTAAAAAGCCAAATAACTCATCACTTTATATGTTTCTCTCTAAAAACAGAATATGAAAAAATAAAATTTAAAAGGAAAATAAAGATGTTCTCTCTGAAAAATACTTGGGTTCCATATGTGTACAACCTATTTCTAAGATTATATGGCCCATGGAAAAATGTTCATGGTTATTTATATTTCTATGCTCTCTAATTTTCTCTGAAAATGTCTTGATTTTTCTTCATTTTTGCAGGGTAGATTTTCTGAATAGGGAATTCAACAGCTTTTCTTGTGCATAAATTTGAGTATGTGACACCACCGCCTCTGTCCCCCATGGTTTTTAATGATAAATCAGCTGTTAACAGTGCTGAAATGTTTCTCTTTTGCTGCTTTCAAAAGTCTGTTTGAATTTGATAGCTTAATGTGACGTTGTGGGTCTTTTTAGTTTACCCTACTTATGTTTCCTGAGCTTTTAAAATATATATATCAATGTTCTCCTTAAAATTTGCAAAGTTTAGATCCATTAATTCTTCCAGTATTTGTTGTGACCCTTTTGACCTCTCCTCTCCTGAGACTCTCACTGGACCTAATTTGTCCTCACAGCCTCTGAGGTTCTGTTCTTTCTCTTCACTATTTTTCATTCTGCTCCTTGGTATGGATGCTCTCAGCTGTCCTGTATTCACGTTTGATGATTCTTTCTTCTGTCTGCTTAAATCGAGTGAACTTTTGTCTCTTCTATACTTCTCACCTCTAGAAATTCTATTTGCTTCTTTTTTGTAATTTCTCTGTACTGACATTTGAAGTTGATCTATCATTGTTCTTATACTTTACTTCTTTAGAGACATGATTTCCGTTTGCTCTTTCAACATATTTAAAATTGCAATTAAATTTTTGTGTAATAAGTCAAACATCTGGACATCCTCAGCACAATTTCTACTAACTGGTTTTATTCTTCATATCAGCAATTTTTTCTTTTTTTTGCATATGTTATAGTTTTCATTGAAAAATAGACATACCGTATAATGTCATGTGGCACCTCTGCAAATTAAATTCTCCCCACTCCCCAGGGTTTGTTGTTATTTATTTGTTTAGTGACTTTTCTGAACTAATTCTGTAAACTCTACATTCTTCAATGGCCATGGGTAATCAGTGAAGCCACTGCGTGTTTGGTTAGCTTAGTTGACAACTATTGCTCAGACAGATAATCTTTTTACTAAACCTCAAGGCAACAAGCATGTTATCTTTGCTGAATTTCTGTGTGTGTGTTGGCTCATTCCTTCAAAATTCATCCAAGTGGTTAAAGACGCTGCCTTTGTATTTACTTTCTGCTGGTGCAGAGGCTCAAGGTAAGTCAGGTAAAAACGTAGGTCTTTCTCAAGTCCTGGCCAACCATGTGTGCACCTGTGTGCACCTGCACATCCCCCGTGTGTGGGCTTCTATCACAGGTTCCTAAGAGTATGCTGGAGCATTTTAAAGCCCCTGTGGACAGCTCATTTTCCAGATTTTCCTTTTAAGTTCTTTGGTTAGGTACCCTATTGTTTGCCCTACTTTTATCCATCCCATCACACAGAAGAAAAATCAGGTAATCGCATCTCTTTTTAACAAATGCCCCCCTGGAAAATGCTTTTGGACAGAGGAAGCTCCAGACCAGATCAAATCAATGGTGTGTGACCAGGCAATCTTCCAGGGAGCATCAGACAGTCAGATGATGATTCTCTCAGACTCCATTGCTAAAGATCCTCCCACACAGTCTGCTCCCAGGCGGCCTTCACCGTGATGAAATATCTTTGCCTTTTCAAGGCTACTTCAGAAGTGAAGTGTCCAAAAGGATACAAAGCAAATAAAAATGCCACAGACGTTGCTATTTTTAATTTTCACTCATTTTTCTTGAGTAAATGTTCCACAGATTGGTCCAAGCCTTTGACTTATTTTCGAAGAATTCCACAAAAGTCAATTCTGACAATGTTTTCCAGTTTCCTCGTGCATTTTACTGACAAGATATTTTTGGAGGCTTTTATTCCACAATTTTCATAGACATTATTCTGATAATCTGCATTTCACCTAAGATAATGTCACAATTCTCACCATAAATGGTATAGCCTACTGAAAATATATTCAAAGTATGTATATAGATATTTCTTCTCATAATTTTACATACTTTAGACCATCAGTTTCTTTAAGATGTAATAAAAAATTTTCCCTCATTTTGTGTTTAAGTGACATAACATGAAATACACAACCTGAAAACCACACACATCTCTCACATTTAAACAAATACACATTCACTAAATTCCTCTAAATTAACTGCTCATTATTCAATATCAACACTGGGTACACCTGTATCAAGGAACATCACACAAGAAGCTCCAAGAATTTGAAAAGGATACACATTATTTAAAAAACTCAACAAAAGCAGCACTGTGCTAATAAATATTTTAGAAAGAAAAAGAAAGCATCAGGTCATTAGAATGACTGGAAAAAATACCATTTCTTATGCAGATATTATGTCTTTATAAAGAAATAAACCATGTTTATGTAGACATCATATGAACATTGAGTAATTCTCTCAAATTTCTAGTTGCAAAAGAAATTACAAAATCATACTTTCACACGTACACTCTGTCAAAACTCTTTTAATCTTTTGAGTGGCAAGAGAGGAAAAACATAAAACTAAATTCAAAGAGAATATCATATATGTGTTTTCTCAGAATTCTAAAAAATTAATTTCAAAACAACATCAGCCATCTGCTCAGAAAGAAAAAATTTTAAAATATTTATATAATAGATCATTTTTGGCATGTGGAAAAAATTCAGAATACAAACTATAAACATAGGTTCTTACAGACTGGCATCAGCCTGGCATTGATGTCTACAGGAAAGCAGATAGGTCAAGGGTAGGAGGAGAAACAGAAGGGAAGGGAAGGGAAAGCAATAAAAGAGAATTAAATAAGGCAATTAAAAGAAAATTCACCATTCTTTTGACCCTCGGTGTATCTCGGCCATGCAGTATTTTTTTTAGATTTTTTTTTTGTTTTCTTTCTGCCTTGCCTGTATGTTCAAATGTCTCAACAATCGACTAGTATTATTTTTATATATTACACCTTTAAATGAGCCATAATTTTTATCAACCAAAAATCAGTGCAAAATGGCTAAAAAACAAGAAGTTTCACTGATAGTGCAATGTTAACATATAAAATATTACGTATTAGACAATGAATACTATTTATTTTATTTCCATAACAACTTTCTTAGGAAAGGACTGATTAACACATCTGGTTTTCTCATTAATTTGTGAAAAAAAAAATAGCTTTGGCTATTGAGGTTGTGATAAGCATATTTGTTATACAGTGTATTTGATTACTTAAACCAGAATTAACCTTCCAGGTCCTATATAATATTGGTGTGCATAATTTTCAAAATTAATTGTATATGTACATATTATAGTAGTTGTAAGCATCCAAATTGTTTAAATACTTTTTCATAAAAGAGAGAATTGAAAATATTGTTTATCATTGGTTGTTCTATAACAAGTTTCTCCAGAGAATTAAGAAAATATTAAAGTATCTATTAAGTAATAAAAGTCTCTCAAAGCCTAAATTTTTCTTAGTGTAATGGTCATGCAACACATTTAATATTTTAATATGATGATTTTGTCCTAATTTTTTACTCAGGTTTTCATTTTCCATCTGTTTTAAATTGAGCAGAAGGTAAAGGAATGTTTTTTAAGATAATTTATGTAGTAAGAGTGTCAGTATCATAAATACTGAGATACTTGTTGTAAAAGTAAGAGTTACCAAACTTTTACCCAAACACTTTAGTCTTGGTGTATACCAGTAAAATAATTTAGTTTAAAGCTTATGAATTTTAAAAATATCTAGGGCAGCAGCTGTGGCTCAAGGAGTAGGGTGCTGGCCCATATAGTGAGGAGGTGGGTTCAAACCTAGACCCCAGCCAAAAATGGCAAAAATAAATAAATAAATAAATTATAAAAATATTCCAATGACAACATTTTTGAAATGTTTTCAGTGAAGAAAAATTCAAGAATTAGAAAACCACCTTTGAATCAGGTGACGAAATGGTAATCTTAGGAATTTTGAATCTCAATGGGACATTAATACATTGGTCCCAACTTTACCTGTGACCACAGACATGTTATCCCTTGTACAATATGACTATGATGGTGGCAAATCAGCCCCAAATTGAATAACTTTTTTCACATAAACTAATGATGAGAGTTTCTTCCTTGCTTCCATCTGACATGTTCCTGATGCTGAAGGAAGCTTCATATCTCCCTGTGCAAGGTTACTGAGCAGGAAAATGTATTTTGTACTCGGCTGTTGAAACCCGTCCCCCACTTTCTCTTTCCTTGTCAGAGTGAATCTGAGGTAACTTCACCCCCCCAACACAAACGCCCCCCTCCTTTCTTGCAAACAATTACGTCCAGTGAAATGTCCCCGCTGTGTTACATTTATCATGGGAAGCTTAATTTTAGAGAAAATTTCATAAGTACATACCCCATTTTTTGGAAAAGCGATCCATCCCAGGTCCCCCATGACAGTGCGTGAGTCCAGCAGATTCACTGAAAAGAGAGAACGCAGAAATGAGTGGTATGTGTGACACTGGGCTCCTCGTCCAGCTGTGTCAGCAAAAGGGCACAGTGTTCAGAGAACCGACCTTAGATTACGCTCTCAGTATGGGGAATACTATGGGTGTAACTTTTCACAAAAACAGCATTGAGATGGCACAACAAAGGAATAATTTTGGATAAACATTTGGAGAACAATTATAGCAAAAGTCATTACTCCACATGTATTTTGCCAAAGAATAATGAAAGGAGACCAGTAACATAAAAAAGAAAAAGAAAAAATAAGAGAAAAGCCCACCAAAATTAAAGACTTATCACGCTGCCTCTTAAAAGACTCTGCATCTAAGTTTTTGGATTAAGCTGCAGCCATAACATCGCAGCTAAATGTATTTTATTTTCTTCTGGAAAGCTGCTATGAAGCAATTAACAAATAATTTACATTAAACAGCAATACACTATGCCTATGCTTGTAGCAATTTTTTGTAATATTAACAGAAATCTGTAATCCAAATTGCAAGTTTAATTAAGAAATAAATCTGCACACCCTTAACCAAGACAAGGAAATTGCCGCAGTTTGAGGTTGTTGCTATAGCTGAGATCACTGCACTCCCAAAGACGGACTCGTCTGAGATGGGGCCACAGTCTAAAACGTGTTGCCGGGACAATGGTCAGACGGATTCCACCTGGAAATCCTAAGGTACTGGAAACTCCCATGATAGAAGTTTGAATGTCATCATTACAGAAGGAAGTAATAGATGAATTGGCATGCAAAAACACTCCCACACACGTTCACACAGGCATACACACACACACACTCACACTCGAATACTCATACACATTCATATGGGTGTGCATACACACACACATTCACACAGGTGCGTGTGCGTGCGCGCACACACACACACTCACACTTGAACCCTCATAAATATTCACATGGGCACACACACACACTCAAACACACCCACACATAGTCCATGTAGTACCCATATTCTGCCCTAGGAAATCAATCTACCTTAATGGTACTCTCTAGTCTAAAAGCTTTAGACCTGGATCACAGACCATTATTTTTCTGATCTGCAATTCCTCACCCACAGGGATCCACTGGACCCACTGCACACTGACCTGCTGAACCACTGTGATTAGCCCAGCACATGAACTCAAAGAAAAAAAAAAGAAAAGAAAACCACCTCAGTTCAAGGAAGCTTCAGTACCTGTGACTAGAAATAACCACATCCAAGAGCCAGCACCTAGAAATGCCACCAATTCTAAAAGAAAGATTCAGATTCCATTTGTCAGGCACAGTGGCTCACACCTGTCATCCTAGCACTCTGGGAGGCGGAGGCAAGAGGGTCCCCTGAGCTCAGGAGTTTGAGACCAGCCTGAGCAAGAGTGAGACCCTGACTCTTCTAAAAATAGAAAAATTAGCCAGGTGTTGTGGCAGGAGCCTGTAGTCCCAGCTACTGAGGAGACTGAGGCAGGAATATCAGTTGAACCCAGGAGTTTGAGGTTGCTGTGAGCTAGGCTGAAGCCACAGCACTCTAGCCTGGGCAACAGAGTGAGACTCTGTCTAAAAAAAAAAAGCAAAAAAAGGATTCTACCCCCAAGTGCAAGTCTGGGCTATTAAAGGAATAAACTTTGACAGGCTGGGGACAGTGCTGTTCTACTTTATAAAAGGATATATAATAAAGTTATTATGACTGAGGAATTAGGATCACAACTGAAATGAAAATTTTCTAGATGTCACAGAAATGATGTGCCTTTAGCCCCTATCTAGCACTTTATTTTTCTATAGCACAAATTAATAAGATAAAAGTACATTTGTCAACATATATATCTTATAAACTACATTACGTCTATAACAATATCAGTAACATTAAGATAAACCAACAACCTACACTGCATAGAAAAGCAAAAATATGCTGCATTTTACGTGTCCCTACACAGGCTGTCATTGGTAAAGATAGCTGTTTATTCTCTACTTCCTGAGACCTTTTAGCTGTAAAAGTGCATGCCATATAATGTTTGGATAATTTTCAGCCTGCTCACATCACACTGCTTTAAAGAATAATAAAATAAATCATTTGTGGGCTCAAAGGAGTAGGGCGCCGGCCCCATATGCCGGAGGTGGTGGGTTCAAACCCAGCCCCGGCCAAAAAACTGCACAAAAATAACAACAAATAAAATAAAATCTTTATTAAAATAAATCATTTGTGAAATTAGTAATTTCTTAGAGGAAAGATGATCCATCCTAGAAACTATTGTTTTAAGGAACCAGTACAAAACCAAATTGCTCCAGCACCGCTGACCTTGCAATCCTGCCAGGCACTTCATGGCCTTGTTCAGTTACATCTACTTGTTTCCCTTTTTATTCTATTGCTGCCTTTTCTGGTTTCCATGGGAATAAGGCTACGTTAAACTTAAATGTCCTTGTCCTCATTTTAGTTTTTCTGGGCCACCAGGGCTCTGTCTAGACATGACTAAACATCAGGGGAGTCCAGAATCTACATTGTTCTGTTTATCCACCTGCAGGAGTCATCTGATTCACCTTTGGTACTGAGCTGCAAATCCGTGTGGATCAGATAAACCGGAGCAGGTCAGCAGACTGCGGGTGTCACTGTGGGGTTGGCTGACCTGGACCTGGACCTGGTGCGCCTGCAGCCAGATGAGCACAGGAATCCTAGGAATTCACAGCCAGCCTGCCCTGAGAAGCACAGCATTCCTTGCAGACAGACCTCTTAGTAACATGTAGATTCCAAACACTCATTATCTCCAACAAATTATAGATGATTTTTCAAAGCGTAGGGATCCTCGCTTGAATTAGTTTTAATCTAATTCTCTATTTAACTTTATTTTTCTAAAAATCTATATATGTAGAAGTAAATGAATGACCTCAAAAAACTAGCTCCACCGTTAATATAACTTACTGGGTGTTCTCACTATGGCAATCAACCTCCATAATACAGGAGAATGAATGCAATAGAAATCTAGGTACCCTTACGGTGACCAAGTCCATAGGCTTTCCTTCTAATAAACAGATTAGGAGGCTTACAGAAAATACGTGTGTGTGGCACTCTCTGCTACTGTCCAAGCTTGCTTTCTCTCTTGGGACAAATGATTTCATAAAATTCACTATGCAAAAAAAGTGATTCACATTACCATTAGTGAATTGAAACTTCAGAAAAGGAGTAAAATTAGGTGTTTTAAGTAAACACTTGCAGATTCATACAACTTTGTTTATATAATACAGGATAAATTAAGAGTTAATGCCCTAAAGAAAGGAGCTAAAATGCATATATAAATTATTAAATGTGTATCTTTATTTTACGGCTAAGCTTTAAACATTAGTGCCTCAGATGCCCTTCTCCCCTTCTGAATTGCTACTTCTTCATTTATCTGGAAACATTTTTCGCAACTACCTTCTTCAGGAATCATCTCTGATCCTCCCTTACCTAAATCTTAGGTATTGTCACTGAATATCCTATTAGGATCAAATCGGTACTGCTTAAAAAAATGAATGTGCAGAATTGTACTGTTTTTTTGAAAGGACCCATGTTTGGCTCATGCCCGTGAACCTGGCCTGAGCTCAGAGCAGCTCAGTAGCTGTTTGTTTTGTGGATGAGTCATTGGTCAGTGGGAAAACCAAGAGGTGCAGCTAATCAGCGTGCCCAGCGGTTCTCAAACCGGACATCTGATAATGTCTGTGTAAATTTTTTGAGTGTAAAAACCAGGGCAGGGAAGAATGTGCTCCTGGCATTCAAAGGAAGGAAGCCAGGCATGGAACCAAACATTCTGCAATGCCTAGCAGAACTCCCAGCAAAGAATCACCTTGCCTAGATTTCACTGGTGCCAACGCTGCAAAGTTCTGTTATACAGTTATGGACACCACCAGGAAACTTCCACCTTGAGAGTTCCTCATACAGTACGTCATTAACAAGCTCTGTCCATTAACGGAAGTTAGATACATGAACTCATTCACTATGAACTAAAAAAATATTGCTATTTGAAGAAATAAAAGAAAAAAACAAAAAAAAAAATAAATAAATAAAAGAAAATAATTTATCTTATTAAGTACCCCAAAAGGTCAAGTGGCTGACTCATGCCTGTAATCCCAGCACTCATTAAGGCCGAGGTAGGCAGATTGCTTGAGCTCAGGAGTTCAAGACTAGCCTGAGCAAGAGTGAAGTCACATCTCAACCAAAAATAGAAAAGTTAGCTGAGCATTGTAGCCAGGCACCTATAGTCGCAGGTACTCTGGAGGCTGAGGCAGGAGGATCACTTGAGCCCCTGAGTTTAAGGTTGCTGTGAGCTATGACAACATCATGGCACTCTACCCAGGGCACAGAGTGAGACTCTGCCATAAATAAATAAATAAAATAATAAAATATACAAAGACTATTCGGATGACACAACATTCAATTACTTTTTGCACAACCAATATCATTATTACAGGTGTTCTCATCTGTAGTCTGTTTCTCAACATCCATGACAGCACACATGAGGAAGTTCTCTGGCACCAATATTCTTAATGCCTCTGTTTCCCTTGCTAGTTACATAATAAAATAGAAAGATAAAAAGTTCATCCTATAAAAAACAGAATAGTAGACATATAATATATATAAATGTGAATTTTCAAAAAGTCATTTCCCAATTTCATTACCAATTTTTTTTTCAGTTTTTGGCTGGGGCTGGGTTTGAACCTACCACCTCCGGCATATGGGGCCGGTGCCCTACTCCTTTGAGCCACAGGCACCACCCCACCAAATTTTTTTTTTTAAAGAAGGATTGGCAGGAACAGAGCACAGTCACTAAGTATCTTCTGTGTTATAATTACAGTAATTAAATTGTTCTGAATAGTATATATGCTTGTTGTAAATTACAATGAATACAGGAGTATTGATCTTTATTGTACAACTTAATTAAAACTTGTCCAGGAAAAGCTACTAATGAATATAATTAGAGGAAATATTTGATACGACAGTTACTCTGGAAGACAT